AGCTGCACATCCTTCTAGTTGCTGTATGTGGGACGCGGCCTCAGCATGGCCGGAGAAGCGGTGCACGCCCAGGATCCGAACCCGGGCCGCCAGCATCGGAGGGCGCGCACTTAACCGCTAAGCCACAGGGCTGGCCCATCTTCCTTTCTAACTAAAAGCAAAAAAGACATCTTATTTAATCCTTCACCTTGAGCTCATTCCCCGCAGGCATAGATGAGCATATGGCAGACATCATTCTAATTCCCTGGCTCATGGTGATACTAGTTGGGCTCAGAGGGGGCTAAGTATACCCACCAGCCTGCCCAGACTCCGGGAGGCCCTGGGAAGTGAGGGTGGCTGTAAAGGCAGGAGGAGGCTCCCTATGGCCTGAGGAAGCTCTGTCCCCAAGCCTTGACTCTACCCACCTACGTGTTTCCATGGGAAACTCACAGGCTGGAGTTTAGGCCGCCCAGGCCTGGGCATGTTGCCACAAGAGCTTGATTTTCTATCATTAGATCTTAAAGGAAGAGGAGATAGGTCCAAAGCTACTTGGGAAAGAAAATAGCAGAATCTCTTCAGGCTCATTCTCTTTCCAGGATATTAGAAGATGGAGGGGCCTCAGTAGCGGTCCTGTGCTCTGGGCTGGAGTCCAGGGAGATGTGAGCCCAGAGCTGGCAGGGGACCTCCATCTCTGAGCTCTTCTACGGCAGGGAGGACAGGAACCATGCAGAGAGAGCCGGAGGTGAGGCCTACACCAAGGGAAGTGGGGCAGGAAAGACCAGGCCTGCCTTTGTCAGCCAATTTCCTGGACACAAGGCAGACTTCCCCACCTCCTGCCCCACACCTTGGGGGCATCTCTGGTTTTGGGGCCTGCACAAGCTTTGCCCTAGCTGGGCAGGGCCTCCGTGGCTGTTGGCCCTGCAACCCATGCTGGCCCTTGGCTAAAAGTCCTCCCTTGGAACAGCTCAAAGAAATGAGCTATTTTAGCCACCAAGCGATGACTTACTTTTCTGGGCCCGGAAGCCTCATTTTCCGGAGGAAAGTTGGGGGCCTGTTGTACTTCAGTGGCACTCTAATGAAAGGAGGGCCTTTGAGAGAAAAGGGGGACAGACATGAGATGGATTTTGCAGCCCATTGGATCTTGAAGGGGCAGAGAAGTCATGGCATGTCATAGCAGGAGGAAGTTTCCATGGCATGGAGGAAGAAGGGTGTTAGAGCCCTTTGACCTGGGTTCAAATCTCAGCTCCCCTTATATCAGTTTGTGCCTTGGGCAAATGACTCAACCTTGGATTTTCCATCTGTATCTCAAGGGGTGACTGTGAGGATCATGTGAGCCATTAGTAATGACCTCTCTTCATAAATGCCAGGTAGTCTGAGAATTTTTTGTGTGTTAACTCGTTAAATGCTCATAGTGACCCAACAGAGGAAGTTCTGTACTCTCCCCTTTTTACATATGGAGAAACTGGGGTGCAGAGAAGTTCACTAATTTG